GTAAATGACGAAATATTTCATCACGTTTCAAGTTCAGGCACATTTTCTACATAAATAGAAAAACAACATATTAAATACCCAGTAAAAGTAATTTATTGTTACATATATAAATTGCTCGAACCGGCAATCCTTTATCACAGTCTAAAATTATGTCACCTCAAAAACGATTACCGAGAAATCGAATTCACAAAAGCACTTCACATTTCATGCTGTTTAAACTTATTAACTACAAATAATCATACCCACCGTTCGCAATACAAACTGTTAAACCTAAGAAAAACACAAAATAAATCGTATAAATGGTATAAAGTCGCTTGGCTTTCTCCGAAGACTCTTCTGAGTTGCCGGAAGAGACGCTGAGTCGATAACAAGTATACGCATGCGTGAAATATTCTAAATCACAAAATGTATCGGCATCGCAACTGTATTTCCGGAATACTAAAATCGGTTGAAAAATCTCTCTCGGGTGCATGATTGAATTTCATACATTGTTTATAAACATTATTACAGACATATTAGTGCATATTCATAATAGGTATTCTAATACTTATTCTAATAGGTAATTTACTAAAATTACCATAAAGATTTTCAATGCACCATGCTTTATTTCATACTATCATGGAACTAAACCCCACCCTGGGGACTCTATCTCCAAACCCAGAGGTTAGGCATTTTAAAATGTTAAGGGCTTATTGATTATCATAAGCTTAATCATACTCATGCAAAGTGTTTGACTGCATGCCTATAATTTTCAGAAGTAAAAGAGTTATCTATTATAGTAACACACTTTCCCTATATAATCAATATACAAACCCCCACCCCAGAACCCTTCACCCTGGGGCCACAAATTTCACAAATTTGAAAGAGGCACCCTTGGTCAACATTACCATACACCTAGTTTATCTGTTTTATTTACAGGGGGAAAGAAGAAGATTTCTAAATAATTTTACATTTTCACTATATGATCAACAAAGCCCCGCCCTAACTCAAGAACCCCTGACTCTGGGGCCATGGATTTCACAATTTTGGTAAAGGGCCCTATGCTGATTAAAACTATGCCAACAGTTTGACTGCTTGATGTCCAGGAGTAAAGAAGAAGATTTTTAAAGATTGCATTAATTTTAGTGGTTTTGGCCCCACCCCTCTTTAGCCCCAGGGGGGCAGGGGCCATGAAATTCACAATTTTTGTTCCCCTTCACCCATAGATGCTTTGTGCCAAAACTGGCTAAAATTGGTATAGTAGTTTCAGAGAAGAAGCTGAAAATGTTCAAATGTTAACACACGACACACGACGCACGACGCACGACGGACGACGACGGACAGAAACGGATAGCAATAGGTCACCTGAGTTACTCAGGTGACCTAAAAATTTGTAGTCATTGTAGGCCGCAAAACGGCCTTATAGAGAATGATCCTTTAAAAATACTGTGAGTACTGAAAGACGGTGGCATGAATGATTTTGTTTGTTTAACACCCCTTTCGAGAATAAAATTATTTTTAGCAGCGAAGGATATTTTTCTTGCTAGCAATTACTGCGACACGGGATCTCAATCTGAATTAAGGGCCGATATCCATGTCACGCAGTGGGAGTGAAATCCGCGACGCCGGTAAAGGTGGACTTCTTCAGGTCCGTGAGTCCAAAGCAAATCCGCTATGTCAAATGGCGACTGGCAGTATATAAGAAAAAATGTTTTAAGATTTTGTAAAATTATATGGAAATTATAAAAGTTTGTTTCAATTTTTCACAATATATCTACCTGTATTTTAATATATAAATTTATATCTTTGTACTAAAAGTATAAAGTGTTATGAATTGTCACTGTTCTAAAATTGTTAGTATCCTATTACAATTTTCATTAAAAAAACATAGCAAACTTCAAATAGGTATATGCATAAATAAACAATTGCAAATTACCAATTTCATTTAAATAAATGTGTTTTGTCGCCGTACGACACACGGATGATAATGATGTCAAAATGTCTAAAGCAGCGTCAAGTTTCCTCTTTGCTAAAAACAAGTTGGATAATTCCAATTTAAATTAAGGAATTTCATTGATGCACATAGTTGAGTTTCCCTTAATTCTTCAAATAACAGCCAGAAACCAATCTCGCGCACAAATAGGACCTTGTGAAGAATTACTAGTACTCAAGTTATGGACAATATTTTTACTATCATTCAACTAAAGAATCTTATATATATATTGGCTGTCAACATTGACAGCGCCTTCTGCTATTCCTGTAGCTGTTTGTTCTACCCTTCAATTTGATTAAAACGATTTCGCTTAGGAAACTCCCACTTCTCTAGTACACTAAAGAGGAAAAAACTGAACTGCTTTCCAGTGCGTAGTATCGTCATCGAACGCCGCCGTTTTTCGTGTGTTGGATTTACCACTTTCCCATTTCGGATGTTTGATAAATTGATAAAATAATTAAGCAAATGTCCTTAAATTTTCCAAAAGACGACACAATAGATAGTGAATAAAAAATAGGATAATGTTTTCCAAATTACTATTTAATACTTTTATTTCGAAACAATACTCATGTATTATTTTTAAAACCTTTTTTTTTTCGTGCGTAACTACATTGAAGCATGTTAATGAAGTATTAATTTTTTGTCTATATTTTATCAAAAGAATTCAGATACACTAAAATATGATAAATAAATACTTGCGAAAAATTTCATCTTGCAGCGCCTATTATTTTTCGAGAAAAACGCTTTGTACACGACAACCCTCGTATAATGCTCAAAAAAAAAGATAGAAAAAAAAGAATAACAAATTAAAATATTTTTCTGTCTATTTTCCGTCGTCTGAAGTCACGATCGGAGTTGTATATATGCGCATGGAGCTTTTCCAGAATGGGAGAGGATCGTACATTTTGGCTAGGGTTTGCGATGATGGTATTTCTCATACATAATATTCTAATAATTATGCAATAACCCTGCAAATCATTGTGCAATACATATTTACTGCTTTGTGAACACACCAGAAGACTAACCTAAATTTAGCCCACTAAAATCGCATAAAATCCTAATAATAGTATTATTTCATGCACATGTATTTGAGTACCTTTTTTGTACACCCTTTAAAGGGTAAATTTACTAGAGGCACATAACTTAGAGTTTCTAAATAGGAATGAAATATATGGGTAAATTGTCCGTTATAGTCTTTGTAATTATAGCTTTAAAATTTTTATCCGTTGAGTCGTTTTTGTGTCCGAGATAATCAGACAAAGTCTTATTTTTAAAAACTAGAATGGTAATAAACTTAGCAAATTCTAGGGCATCATATACCCCCAACAACCATTTTATTAACTGATTAAGATGTAGTGATCTTTTTTCTTCTTTCCTAAAATACATAATTTATATTCGTTTTACTAATATAGCATTGTAAACAGATATAAGAAATTCAACAAAAAGACAATTTTTTTTAAATTTCAATAAACTATTTTTAAATTTTTATGGTAAAAAAAAAAATTTACAAAGCAGTATTCAAGAAACAGCCGTGTGTTGTTTAGCAGTTACTAGTATTTGATTTCGGAGTTAGATATATAGTGAAACAATCATACAATGAAATCTTCAAGTATTTTTCAACAATTAATTGGTAATTTTAAAGAAACACAATGTGCGTACGAAACGGATTTTTCGAACATGCCAGAAAAAACGAAAAAAAAAAATGTACGAATTGACATCTGTAGTTTGCATACGAATATACGAGTCGGTTGGTGTACGAGTTAGTTTAGTTCGGCGTAACTCAATGAATATTCATGAGGCGAGAAATATTGATAACGGCAAATATCAGGAATTAGGCTTTGTATCCATCAACGAAATGTCTTTGAAATAACTTGAAAGTATTTGTTAACTGTGTACATTTTATTTTCAACCATCGAAATAAGTCTACTTTCATTATTTTACTTGCAAAATGCCGCTAGGGTCCCCGTGTGTTTACACAGACCACCAGCAATAGCCTGTGGCTATATATAGCCACCGTCTAAAAAGTAGGTCACTGTGACCTACTTTTGATTTAACATGATGTGAAGTCGTAAGATGCATCAACTTACAAGAATTGATGATCCTAGTCCTTATAGTAAGCAAAATATACACGTTTTTATTAATTGTAAATTTAGGTCAACTTTGAAGTGACCTTGAACCACGCCCTTTGCCCCAGGGTAATTCCCCGTGCAAATTCTAATGTTCGACATATCCTGATCCTTGTATGTAAGTTTGGTGAAATTCTGCCTGGTGGTTATGGAGAAGAAGATTTTTTAGCAACCAGTACTTTTGGTTTTGTTTTCCTGATTATCTCCCCTTGTTTAAGGGTCCAAACCCTTATTTTACTATAAATGGTAGCCCTTGGGCCAAGGATACCCTGTGACAAATTTGGTACTGATTGGCCAAGGGGTTCTTGAGTTATAGCCCATATTCTAAAAAGTTAACGCACACCGCACAAATGGCCATAGCATTAGCTCTTTGAGCCTTTGGCTCAGAAGAGCTAAAAAAGTTTGCTTGCTTTGTTCTTCTCATTTTGTAGTATGGTTTTAAAAGTGTTAGCCATAGTTTATTTTAGTGGAGATGATAACTATATGACAACTTTCAATTTTGCCATCCCCTGGTTTGTTATTTTATGTATGGTGCCTCAGGGAAATGTGCCCTGCATGCCCAACACGATACATGTACACTTCCAGTCCTTGCTGAAAAACACATCCACCACATAAAAGCTCCCTCCCCAGAAAACTTTTGTCAAGTCTCTCTTCTGTAATGCATTTAATTGCAATATCTTCAAGCATCATGCTGTATCCCACTTTACCCCAACCATCCCATCCCCCAATCCCCCTTCTTACATCATTTTGCAGCCAAAAAACCCTCGGTAATTTTGAGGTTCTTAATCAAAAATCAGGAGTAGAGACTATATCAATATTATTGATTGGAATGGAATGGAGAAAAAAAGCAAGTTGGCACATGTATATGGTCTTCCTTCAAACTAAGAATCTTTAAAGAGTACCTGTAGAGCAATCCTGTGTTGGACCATTTTATCAACTGTGTATTTTCCTTTCAAGACTGTTGCCATAGAGCCTAAGGGAGCTAACTCCAAGACAATGGCTCTGGGTTTAATGGAAACTCCCAAAGGGAGACAACACTGGGGTGATTCAGACATCTCAGAACAGTCACCTGAATAACAGCACAGCAAACTTGTTCAGACGAACACGGATATTGTGAATTTATGGATATAGTAAAGTCATCTTGGATCCCTAGCTATATGATTTTAATGTATTTCTTATACAGTTATAACGAATTACGGATATAGCAAAGTAATTTCATAGGTCCCCGTGACTTCGCTATAACTGAGTTTTGCTGTATATCTAATGTTTGATTTCTCAAGACAGATATTGCAAAAAAAAATTGACAATCTCTCATTGATTTTAACCAGAATATCAATCATTTGAAAAACAATCTTGAAACAATTTACATATGAATAAAAATTTTTTGTATGATTATTTCCTTCTTTAT